ATCTGCTATTCAATGTTTTTTCTGACCAGTTACCATTTCTACGTAGAATAGTTGCCTTTGACTACACTACATTGATTCTTGGATTTGTTGACGTCTCAAGAATCAGGTGAGCAGCAACGAATAGCACCCATCACCAATGAAAGATGCTTGCCTGAGACGGAGTCTTTGAAAAGACCACCATCAAGAATCACCGGACAGCGAGGGAGTGAAACTGTGCCCGATGACAGAAGAGGAAGCAGCAAGCCAGCAGAGATGTAGCACGCACGCATCATGCTGTAGGGCTCCGCCGCCGCCACCGCCACGCAAGCCGCCCGGGTCTTCGACATCGACGAGACGCTGCTCTCCAACCTCCCCTACTACGCGCAGCGCGGATACGGGTGAGCCATTTCGAGACCACCGGGCAGGAAAGCTCGATTCCTCGACTGAGATTTGCTCTGCTGACGCGCGTTTTTTCCCGTTCGGTTGTGGGAACTGCCGGTGACCAGGCTCAAGCTGTTCGACCACCACGAGTTCGACCAGTGAGTGGAGACGGATCCCCTCCAGCCTCCGCCTCTACAGGAGGTCCACGACCTCGGCTTCAAGACCTTCCTGCTCACCGGCCACAGCAAGGCCCACCAGGGAGTCACCGTCGACAACCCCAGGAGACAGGGTTTCCACGACTGGGACAAGCTCATACTCAGGTAGTACCCACCCACACCTTCACCGTCCCTCTTGTGCTGTTGCCATTGCACATCACTTTCACACTGCCTTGGTGGGGATTTTTTTTAGGAATTTCATTGATCTATATACCCTGTTCCAAGTATTTCATTATGTTGGACTGAATACTCTGGTCTAGGTATGCGTTTCAGATATGAATTTAGTTAGTACCGGTATTTGACACGAGAAAAATCTTATAAGCGCTTCGTGAGATGGGAAGAGAAGGAGTGTGGATTTCTCTCATGCGTCGGAAAAAATAATGCGGGCGTGCCAGTGTACCGTAGTACACAATGAAAACAAAGAGACAGGAACAGTATTTTATTAATCACAAGGATAACAAATACAATTCCCGATATGCGCTTCGTGGCCTGCTAGCGCGGCCTGCCTGACTATAGCGATTGCGGTCTCTGGTTCCCGGGGCCCGAAAAGCTCCCGGTTAATTACTCCCGCGGGTTGCTCCGCGAGATACCTCCGATTAAGTTGTGTGGTCGTTTTCGTCGTCTTCGCTTCGCGTTCTCCATGCATGATGATGCTGGTGTGTGTGTGGTGTGGGCGGCGGCAAAGCCGGTGTCCTCGTCGGTACACGTGCCGCTCAAAACATGGCTTTGTGCTGGCCACGTTCGCCCTCGCCGCCGTCGCGCCTCGTCGGTCTTGACAACGTTAATGTAGCCGGTGTTGAAGTTGCATGGATCCTGCTCTGCTCGGACTTCTTGACGATGTAGCGGCTTCGTCGGGTATGCAAGGGGTTCGCCTCGCGGAAGTATTCTTATGGAGACCACCAACGCTCGCTCGTATCGGCAATGCCGGTGTGGTTGGCGCCTCGTCTCTGCTGGACGCCGTGTTTATGGCGGTCCTCCAAGACAAGGGCGCCGCCTCACGGGGCCATCGGAAGTTAGTGTTGGCAAAGTCATATTGCCTCCTTGCCATCATGCCTCATCTTCATGGGCTCCGGGTCGTGGAGACCGTCATGTGGCACCATCTTCTCCTCCAGGTCACGGACAGCACCACATCACGGCTCCGTGTTGCAGACAGCATCGAGGGTTTGTGTTATCTTCTTGGCTCCGTGTTGCGGGCTCCATCTTGACGAGGTAGACATTGGTGGTGATGTACAGCGAGCTCCATGCCTCCGTCGTCCTTCGCGGCACGCGGCGGTATCCTCGGGAGCTCCGTGCCTCCGGTCCAGCTTGATGATGTTGACGTTGGTGGTGTCCTCCTTGCGAGCTCCACGCCACGATTCTCTGCGGTACCGGGTGTTGGTGATGGGCGTCCTCTTGGCGAGCTCCGCGCCGCCATCCAAGGCGGCACGGTGGCGGCATCGTTGCGAGCCTCCACGCCTTTGTCCTCCATGGCGCCGACTTGATAAAGAAGAGGACGGGCGTCGTCCTAGCGAGCTCCGTCTCGCCATCCTCCGCAGCACGCGGCACCATCCCTGCGAGCTAAGCGCCTTCGGGCTCCAGCTTGACGAAGTTGATGTTGGCAGCATCCACAATGGGCGCCACGCCTTCGTCCTCTAGCTCCAACATGACGAAGTGGATGGCCGGCGTCCTTCTTGTGAGCTCCCCGTCACGATCCTTGCGGCACCAGGTTGATGATGTTGACATTGGCGTCATGTTGACGTTGGCGAACTCCGCGCCGCGATCCACTGCGGCACGGCGGCGGCATCCTCCGCGGCACACGGCGGAATCCTTGCGAGCTCCGCGCCTCCGGGACTCCAGCTTGACGAAGTAGACGCTGTCGGCCTCATCACCAAGGGTAGCCACCACAAAGGAGGCCAACGGGCTGCGCGCCGGAAGCCCCATCGTCACGCCCTCGTCTTCCACGCCTTGGTGAAGTCCGGGAGTTGCCTCGTCGTCTTGGTTAGCTTGAGGAAGATGATGATAATGCCAACGAAGTGCTGCATGATCGCGAGCTCCACCGCGCCACCACGTGTTGTGCATGCATGCAATAATAAAGGATGAAGGAGTGATTAGATGATAACTTTACTGTTCGGGAAGATCGACTTGGTGTTCATGTTGCTGCCGAGGCGCCTGCTTCTTGTACAGATGATCGTCGGCGTTGTTGTGACGAGATGTCGAGGCCGATCTCTCTTCTCTCCTTCTACTTCTTGCTGTGTGAGTTTTGGTCGCTGGATGTTTCTGCGTGCCATGGATGTGGTCGATGGATTTGTGGATGTATTGCTGCGTGGGTTTCTTGTGCACGTGATGGCGGCGACCGTGGTGGCTGGGTGTTTCTGCGTGCCGTGGATGTGTTGCTCTGTTTCTGTGTACCTGGCCTCCTGGATCCTCTCGATGATGCTCTATTTATATACCAGGGCGCCGGGTCAGCTTCCCCTTGCCATCGGCCGCCTCCTCGGAACATATCTATTCCTTGTACATGCTCCGATCAGTTTCCTTCATCCCACAACATATGTTCTTGACGCACACGGCTGCAAAACAAATATGCCTTGTCCACACATCTAGCGGTGGGTCTTTCCAAACGTGCTAGCTTTCCTTCTTTCTCATGTACACATTCCAAATCTACAACTCCATCGATCAATCCACCGTGAGCATATTGGCTAGCTGGCTATTGTGCGGGTATTCGGGGACGTATACTTACTTGCTTGCCAGGCGGCCGAATATACTCAAATACGTATGTATATTGTATATATACACATGTGGTATATTTAGGTAGGTACACGAGCTCGCCGGTATACCAATACAAGAATACATAAGAATGTATCTCGGCTAGCTAGCCTACGTGCATGTGGCCGGACTCGTGCATGCACACATTGGTTGCACCATATTTCATGCATGTGCATGTGCAAGTACGTGAGTGGGTACATGCCATGCCAATAAATTTTGCCTTTAACTTGCCTTTGTTTATATAGCCTGCATCAAAACTGATTAGAAAAAAATATATTTTATGCAACATTGCACAAAAAATCGTCGAACAATCGGAAACAAAATTGTATCCAGAGCACTGTAGTGTTTTGCCAACTAGTGTTTCTCACCTCGGCATAATGGGATTCTGAAACCTGCCTTCTTTGATGATGTCCAGGGCTGCAGCTGACCGGGAGAAAACGGCGACAGACTACAAGTCGGAGAAGATGAAGGAGATGGAGGCGGAGGGGTACAAGATCCTGGGCAACTCGGGCGACCAGTGGAGCGACCTGCTGGGCTACTCCATGAGCGCCCGTTCCTTCAAGCTCCCCAACCCAATGTACTACATCCCCTGACGAAACAGATCAAACATGATTGGTGGGCATAGTGTGAGATATGCAGTGCTTATTTATCTGTTGCGTTCTTAATGCCGGCCCGATTGACTGGACCCTGTACTGACTGACTGAGTGTGCAAAGCAAAATTGAGAATGAAATTGAGATGGAAGAATTAATTTGTGAATGAGTGTGCATACATTGGGCTTGTGAGCTCGTTTGTGACGGATGAGATGAGAATGTTGTTGCTTTGAAACGAAATGTTGACTTCATGGACACATTGTACCAGATAATCTCTTTTGCTCATACTCTACCAAAGCCTAGCCTCCAAAAGTGGTTTACATCTTCAGATCTTCTTACATTGTTGCTAGGAAGGAAACCAGCGCTAATAAAAAAAACTGCAGTGCTGCTCTGTGTACCTCTTTTTTGAAGAGTTATATTGTGTCAGCAGGATCTCGCATCTACAACACTTGTGTAGGATCTCTGAGGTTTAAAGGAAGACTGCATCACCAGATACTCTGTTTAGTCCTTGACTTTAAACTGAACCTCATAGTAAGCAGGATCAACAGCCAGCCAGACAACATGCTGACATTGCACATTCATAAAAAACAGTTGCTGCATCTTCTCTTGCTCATAATAAAAACTACAGCGTGTGCCCATAATAAAAACTACTGCGTGTGTCGTCGCCCTTCCAATTTCATTGGACAAATTATATTTAGTAAGAATAACAGCACGGCATGTCTCTGAAACTTTTGGCGACCTCCTGGTTCAGATGGCTTAGGAACTGCATCATGTAGTGTTTTTCAGCGTTGCAGGACTTGCAGTACCAGGTGTTTATTCCGATACTCTGTTCAGTCCTTGACTTTAAACTGAATCCCAAAGTAAAAAGGATCAACAGCCACAAAACATGCTGCCATTGCACATTCTAAAAACAGATGCTCAATCATTTTCTCTTACTCGTAATAAAACTACAGCCGGTGTCGCCCTTCCAGTTTCATTTAGACAAACTAGCTTTAGTAAGAATAAAACCGCAGTGCGTGTCTCTTTGCAACTTTTGACGACCTTCTGGTTCAGAACATCAGATGGCTTACGAACTGCATCGTGTAGTGTTTTTCAGCGTTGTAGGACCTGCAGAACCTGCTTCATCGACGGCCTTGAAGATGGGTTTGTGCCCGTGCAAATTAGCCCTAGCTTCAACACCAGTTGTACCTCATGCGAGTAGGCTGGATCTCGAACATCTGGATCTATCAGATTTGTCAAATGGATGTCCTCATCTTGATGAAATTGCCTCCATGCCCATTGCGCCAAATTCTCGTACCCGCCCCCACCATTTGCATACCTCCCTGTTACCAGCTCCAAGAGAACCACCCCAAAGCTGTACACATCAACTTTCTCATTCATCTTTCTCGAGCTTCCAAACTCTAGAAAAAGTGCAAGTCACTTGTCACACAGTTATATTACCCAAGTTCAAAATAACCAAAGTTAGCACTAAGTTCTTACCTGGAGCTATGTATCCGAAGGACCCAACCACCGCCGAGGCCGACTCTGGCTCACCAGCTTTAAGCAATGCGCGAGCTAGGCCAAAGTCCGCAACCTTTGCTCTGAACTGAAGATCCAGTAGGATGTTGCTGGACTTCACATCACGGTGTGCTATAGCAGGAGAGCAACCATGGTGCATGTAACACAGCCCCCTTGCTGCATCGATTGCTATTGACATCCTTGTCGGCCAGTTCAACAACTGTCTAGTTGTACTACTAGTCGGATCATCTTTCTGATGCAACCATTCATACAGGCTACCGTTCTCCATGTATTCGTATATGAGGAGCTTTGATTCAGAGCTTGAAATGTAGCCAAGCAACTTTACAATATTGGCATGTCGGATGGATCCAAGAATCTCAATTTCAGCTTGAAACTGCTTTTCCAGCACATCATGTTCCCGTCCGCTGCTACTCCATATTTGCTTGACAGCTATAACCTCACTGTTTTCATCACCAAGGCAGATCTTATACACCTTTCCTGAACCACCGCTGCCGACAAGGTTTGCATCAATGAGGCTGCAAATGATGCCTTGAATGTCATAATCAATAGCTTGGAAGGCCGTCAGCTTCCACCGTGGAGACGGGGCGTCATCTTTTTTCTTACAGAAAAATGCCTTGATCTTAGTAAAACCAATCAGCCCTGTGCATATGAGAATGGTTGAACCAAAGGCCATGAGGAGGACTACATACATCTTCAAGTGCAATCTGGTGCACGCAGGTAGGTTTCCAAAGTGGTTGGAGGAACATAAGCCGGGATTGGAAAGAAAGCTCCATTGAAAGTCTCTCATCTCGAAAGGAGATGGAATCTTGCCCGTCAGTTGGTTGCTAGAGAAATTGAGGCGGAAGATGGAGGTTAATTGTAACCGTGTAACGTTTTCTGGTAGTGGGCCGGATAGAAGATTGTTGTTCAATAAAAACCAGGACAGTTTCTTGAGCTTACAGAAATCATATGGTATGCGACCGGTTAGAGAGTTATTGTGCAGATCAAGCGACTCCATATTCTGCATTCGCCAAAGCCCACTGGGTATTGTCCCATTTAGTGTGTTAGAAGACAAATCTAAGGTTGTAAGTTGGGACAGATTGTGGAGCCTACGGGAATCATCTGGTATGCGACCGGAGAGACAGTTATTGTGTAGATCGAGGGAGTCCAGATTCTGCATTCTCCAAATCACACTAGGTATTGTCCCATTGAGTTTGTTAGAAGACAAATCTAAGGTTGTAAGTTGGGACAGATTCAGGAGCCTACGGGAATCATCTGGTATGCGACCGGAGAGAGAGTTACTTTGTAGATGAAGAAACTCTAGATTCCGCATTCTCCAAATCCCAGTAGGTATTGTTCCATTGAGCGTGTTACAAGACAAATCTAAGATTCTAAGTTGGGTCAGCTTGAACATAGTGTCTGGAATTTCACCAACTATATTCATATTACGCATTGACAACTCTTGTAGGTTTGTCAAATTTTCAAAGTGTGGACTGATTCTGTGTGAAGCAAAGGTATTGAAAGACAGTTTCAGAACTTGTAGGGATGAAAGCTGGTAGACTGAACTTGGAATACTACTGGATAAACTATTCGATTCAAGGTTAAGGTAGGAAATCTTTTCCGACAGTAGATGGAGATTTAATGGGAGACTACCAATAAAAGAATTGTACGAGAGGTCCAGATGCTCAAGGCTTGAGCAACTGAAAAGTACCACAGGGAAAGAACCTGGAATGTTGTTGTGCGACAGGTCGATGTGTGTAAGATTCTTGAGCGAGCAAATTTCTGAGGGAATTGGCTTGTCAAGTTTGTAGCCTCCGAGTGAAATACCTGTAACAAGGCCATCCAAATTACAAATGGCTCCATCCCAATTACACTGGCCTGTGTTCATGGAGCTCCAGCTGATGGTGGTCTGTTTGCCCCAGTGTCTCTCGAGGCTCAGAAGTGTTGCCATTTCAGCCTTCCTGCCCATAGCTTCACAGTTGTACCCGGGGATGGAGCAAATGAGGAGGACTAGAGATAGCTTGTGGACGATGATGGTATTGTGAGTAAGGTGCGAATTTGCCATGACTCTCAGCTTGGGCTTGCAGATCGAGGATGGTACGATCAACAAGATGGGAAGTAGTACTAGCAACCTCACTCTTCGTGGAGCTGGATGAAGACTGGTCAAGTTAGGTTTCCTGTCAATTTCCGAAAAAAGAGGAGAAAAAGTTATGTTCCCTGTCAATCTGCTATTCAATGCCGCCTTTTCTGACTAGTGACCGCTTCTACGTAGAATAGTTGCTTTTGGCTGCATCGATTCTTGACTTTCTTGACGTCTCAAGAATCAATCAGGTAAGAATGAGATGCCGACAAGGAGCAGCGACGAGCAGCAGCCAACATCGATGAAAGGTGCTTGCGCGAGACAGAGTCGTCGAAAGGATCACCATCAAGAATCACACCGGACAGCGAGGTAGTGAAACCGTGCAAGCTGGCAGAGGAATCGCGCGCGGGTGGGTGAGCACCAGCAGCCGGCGGGAACTGCCGATGCCGGCAAGAAAGGGGCCGGATGTCTTTTTTTTTTTTTGAAGGCCAGCATGGCTAGCTCATTAAAATTTAAACAACGCTTACATTGTCCGCTAATAGTTCAAATATAAAAGCGGGAGGTGAGTCCAACCACCAATTTAATGGATCAAGACGCCATTCTGTGCCAGCACATGAGCTACCTCATTACTGTTGGCAATACCAGATTGGACTAATCTAGTCCACGAGTAAATGGTAAGCATGAAAAATATGATATGCATCTCATACCGATACGTAGCCATGTGAGCACGTATAGTACATAGAACTGATACATCTATGAACAACATATATACGATCAACACTTGAACGAGTAAATAGAGGATGAACGAGTCATACCCTCCGGCTGGCCAGGCCAACACGACGGCGGCAGCGGCAGCCTCGACATCGGTCGAGGCCTTCTTCTTGTCGGCTTCGTTGTCAGCCATGGAATCAATGCAGGGGAAGTAGTGGAAGCAGAGGCGGACGGAGACGGATCGGGAGCAGTCACGTCGAGACCCTCCCAAAAACCTTATTGCCGTTCTTCCAAGCAGGATCTCGAACAACAGGGTTATGGAGGCACATGCTCTTCCGACCAACCGTGCATGCGGTCGTCGGGATGGGATCGCCGGAAGCAGCACAGAGAGAGGAACAATAGATAACGGCTAGGGTTGTGCAAGAGGGAGTGAGTGAACTGAACTAGGTCATGCCACTGGCCATCGCGTTCTTATATAGGCCGTCGGATAGATGGGTCTGGGCTCAGGCCCATGACGCAGTACGCGAACAACCATGGTCCAACATCTTGGTATGATATTAACTGCATGCTAAACATGTTCAGTGCTCATCATTGAAGCAACCTGAATCGTTGGATTGACTTGGTTTCATGGCCGAGATTTGTTGGATATGCTCC